GCTCAGGTCCGGGGGGAGGGATGGGGCCCCGGCTCTTCCGCGGAGACGCGGAGACGCGGGCGCGGCCCCGAGCGCGGGCGTCCGGTTGGGGCGGGGGTCGCAGAGCCCGGTGTCCCCCCCCCCCCGGCGAGGCCACCCTGGGGCAGATGCTGCCGCGTGGAGAGCCCCGTGCCCAGCTGGGCGTCGGTTCCTCCTCCCCCTCCTCCCGGGCGCCCGGGTGTGGAGGCAGGGCGTGGTCCCCGAGCATCTGGGGGCCACACGCCTGCCACGCTCGCGCAGACGCCCTCCAGCCACCCTGGCGCGGCCGCCTGCCGCCCTGGGCCCCGGGGCGGGTGACCGCGGGGCTCCTCGGACGGGGTGGGGGAGCTTTCGTGGGTCCTGGGGCGCTCACGTGTCGCGTTGATTCTCACAGCGAGGCTGGGGCGCAAGAAGGGCGGATTTCTGTGTATTTTTCATCCATCCAGGTTTGGGGGATGAAAAGACCGAGTATGGAAGACTTGCCAAGATGAGCCTGCTGGTCCTCTGACTGCTAATTTAGGGCCCTTTACAGCAGGCTAACTAGGCCTGATGCAACTCCCTGGAGGTGTAAGGCGCTCAGCTATTTGGAGCTGGTGTATTACGTGGAGAATTCTCTCCTCTCTCCCAGGTTGTCTTGATGATATGTTAGGCATACGTGTTGAGTGCTTTACAGACATTACCCAATTTACCCCTCCCAGTAACCACGTCGATGTTTTCTCTGTTTTAAGTATGAGGTAAGAGTGAATAAGCAAATGTTAGAGGGAAATTCTAATCTGAGTTAGATTGCCTCCAACGCAGAAGCTCTTACCCTCTTTGCTGTTGCCTCAAAAACCAGGAAACGAATGGGTGCTAAATTGAATAGGAAGAATTCTTTCTCATACACAGTATTTCCCTAGTTTTTCTTCTCAGCATCCATTTGCCCTGTAAAAAGAAAGAGCAGGCCCCTGATTTTTGCTGGGGTAAAGTTAGAAATTTTATGTTTTTACAAAAAGGAGTTAGTTGATCCCATTAAAATGGATTTTAAATTGGGAGCTTGAACCTTTACGGTGGCTATTAAGGGTAGCCTTTTAAGAAAAGACTTTCTGTTCTCGGATGCTTTCTTTCTTTTTATTTTTAATTAAAATGTGTATTTTGCAGATCACTTAACACATAGGAGATAGCATATGGTACATTTTATCGATGTCTTATCAACATATTGCATAAGAATAATGTGGTGTCTGCCCTGTAAAACCCGGCTCCTGAATCCTGGCACTTAGTTGTCTATTTAAAATTCACAAAATTAAGGAAGTAAGAAGGTGCTTATTGATGCTTATCTCAACAGTGAGCTTTTTTCCCACAAACTTATTATCACTGACCCATTTCACATGGAAAGGAAAAGGACTGCATATTTCTCAATGAAAATATAATCATTTTTCCTGCAGGTGTAAATACTGCTCAGTGTTCCATTTCAGAGGCAGAGATGGAATAACCTCAGGGAAGATAAGAATCTGGAGATTTGTTTAAATTATACTTAAATGAAATATACCGAAATTTGTCAAGTTTTTGGGGGAGAGAGGCATGAGAGAACATGGATATAATGTTTAATAAGCAATATCTATACACTAAGTTTACATTCAGAGTTACATTAAAAGTTCATTTAAAAGGCATCTATTTGAAATTAATGACTATTATTAGTGGGCCAAATAAATCAAAAGAAATGCTCCCTTTACTACTATGCTTACACAGGGAAACAGTATTTTTTAACAGCTTTATTAAGATATAATTTACAAACTATAAAATTCACCCATTTAAAGTGTACAACTCAGTGTTTTTTAATGTATTCACAGAGTTGTGTAACTATCACTACAATCTAATTTTTAGAACATTTTGGTCACCCCAAAGAGAAACCTACGCTCATTAGCAGTCCCTGTGTCTCCTCCCCACCCCCACCCAGTCCTAGGCAACTACTAATCTACTTTCTGTCTCTATAGATTTGCCTGTTCTGGACATTTCTTATAAATGAAATCATACAATACTTGGTCTTTTGTGACTGGCTTTTTTCACTTAGCATAGTTTTAAGGTTCATCCATGTTGTAACATATATCAGTACTTCATTTCTTTTTGTGGCTGAATAATTTTCCACTGCATGGATATACCACATTTCATCTATCCACTCATCAGTTGGTAGACTTTTGGGTTGTTTTCACGTTTTGACTGACTCTTACGAATAATGCTGCTGTGAACATTCATAAACAAGTTATTGTATGCATGTCTGTTTTCATTTCTCTTGGGTAGCAATGTAGGAGTAGAATTGCTGGGTCGTTGGTAACTGTATGTTTAACATTTTGAGGAACTGCCAAACTTTTCCACACCAGCTGTACCATTTTCCGTTGTCACCAGCAATGTGTGCAGGTTCCAATTTCTCCACATCCTTGTTATTGTCTGTCTTTTTTATTACAGCCATTCTAGTGGGTGTGGAGTGGTGTCTCATTTTGGTTTCAGTTTGCATTTTCCTAAAGGCTAATAATGTTGAGCATCTTTCATGTGCTTATTGGCTGCTTGTATATCTGTTTTGGAGAAATATCTATTCAGATTCTTGCCTTTTTAATTAGATTATTAATTTTAAATTGTGAGTTCTTTATATACTCTAGATACAAGTCACCTATGAGATATATGATTTGCAAATATTTCCTCCCATGCAGTGGATTGTCTTTTCACTTTCTTGATGATATCATTTGCAACATAAAAGTTTTTTGTTTTTTTAAAGCCTCAGAGTTGGCTTTTTTTTTTTTTTTTGAGGAAGATTGGTCCTGAGCTAACATCTGTTCCCAGTCTTCCTCTTTTTCTTTTTTCCTCCCCAAAGCCCCAGTACACAGTTGTATATCCTAGTTGTAGGTCCCTCTGGTTCTTCTATGTGGGACAGCGCCTCAGCATGGCTTGATGAGCCATGAGTAGGTCCGTGCCCAGGATCTGAGCTGGCCAACCCTGGTCACCGAAGTGGAACATGCAGACCTAACTGCTACACCTTGCAACATAAAAATTTTTGATGCAGTCCAGTTTATCTATTTTTTTCTTTTGTCACTTTTTCTTTCTCATTTTACTAAGAAACCACGAAGATCACAAAGATTTACTTCTGTCTTCTTACAAGTTTTATAGTTTTCTTATACAAAAGAATTACTACTTTTCCACCAATAAACTGAACAGTTGTTATTCGGTTGTTGGAGAATTGTTCAAAAATGCTCATACTTTAATGAATGACTTATTTGAACTTTTCATTTACAACAGGAAAATTAATTTTAGACGAATTCACTTCTAGGCCTGCAGGATTACTTTTTTTGGTCTGTTGCCTAGAAAATTCCTAACATTTGATAAAATGAACTCATCCTAACAAAGATTAGATGTTCAGGAGTAGAGAGAGAAAAGGGGAAGGGAAAGAAACTAGAGAGTTATTCACCTGGAGTTAACACTACCCTTTTTTCTTATGTATAAAACGGGACTGAAATAACTTCCTGTCTCACGTTTTAAGCTGTTACTGTATTCCTCATTTCACATTTAGAGAAAAGAGGATGAAGAAGCTGCTCTTTGGCATTCTTTGTCTCCTCAAGAACATTCTGAATGAGCTGTCCCAAGAAAAAGGTCCTTGTTCCTTTTGCCGTCCTGGATCAAACGTACCTGACAACACGTAAAGCCAGAGGCATTCATTATATCTGGCTTTTGATGTCTGGGTTGGTAGGATACGGAGAAGAACCTCCATTTGCTCTTAGGGGACACTTGCCTGAAACACCAAGTTTTTGTTCTTGGCCTTTTTCATAATACTTGGATATTTGCATGTAGATTCAACAAAGGAAATAAGAATCTAACACAAATTAGCACCGTACAATTCGAACACAAAAATAAACAGGGAAAGTGTCATTGTAAATCCATAGAATTCTTTGGAAATTATCCTAATTTCCAGATGACTAGAAAAAGTCTACACTGGCAAAAATTTTAGATATCTAAATGTCTAAAAATAGGGAAATGCTTGGAAATTACAACCAGCAACTAGAAGTGATTTAGTCATTATAAAGGAAATTATGGACTCTAAGTGTGTAATATATTGTATATAATAAGTATGTAAATATATTGCATATGTATGGTATGTATAAGTATATGGTAATAAGTATGTATATCATATATTCTGTCAGACACATGGATTTACCAGACTTTGATTGAAACTTTGTAAAACTTATAAATTTAATATACAAAAAATTGTTAGGGGTGAAAAGGGAATTGGCTAACATGAATTTTTTGTGTGTGTGTGAGGAAGATCAGCCCTGAGCTAACATCTGACGCCAATCCTCCTCTTTTTGCCGAGGAAAATTGGCCCTGAGCTAACATCCATGCCCATCTTCCTCTACTTTATATGGGACGTCACCACAGCATGGCTTGACAAGCAGTGCATCGGTGCACGCCCGGGATCCGAACCTGCAAACCCTGGGCCGCCAAAGCGGAGCTCTCGAATTTAACCACTGCGCCACCGGGCTGGCCCCTAACATGAAATCTTTACTCATTTGTGACTATGTTTCTGTTAATGTGGAGAGTCTAGATTTTGAGGCTAATTTATTCTCAATTTGTTGTGACCTGGTATTTAGTAAGTTTACTATTAGAATATACTTCTTCCCGTAGTAGATAAATATTTGATAAAGTCTCCAATAGAGGGCATGTAATGATTTGGAAAAAGAATTAATGTGTTAATTTAATTTAGTGAGTGTTAATTTAATTATAGTTACAGAACTATTATGTACTTTTCTCAGTTTCTGATTTTTTTGTTTGTTTTTTCTTTACAGCAAAGTATCCAGAGATAAAATCCTTGATGAAACCTGATCCCAACTTGATATGGATTGTAATCTTGATGGTTCTCACTCAGTTGGTGGCATTTTATTTAGTAAAGGACTTGGACTGGAAATGGGTCATATTTTGGGCGTATGCCTTTGGCAGTTGCATTAACCATTCAATGACTCTGGCTATTCATGAAGTTTCCCACAATAGCGCCTTTGGCCACTACAAAGCTATGTGGAATCGTTGGTTTGGAATGTTTGCTAATCTTCCTATTGGTGTTCCATATTCAATTTCCTTTAAGAGGTATCACATGGATCATCATCGGTACCTTGGAGGTGACGGCATCGATGTGGATATTCCAACTGATTTTGAAGGCTGGTTCTTCTGTACCACTTTCAGAAAGTTTATATGGGTCATTCTTCAACCTCTCTTTTATGCGTTTCGACCTCTCTTCATCAACCCCAAACCAATTTCTTATCTGGAAATTATCAATACTGTGATCCAGATCACTTTCAACATTATAATTTACTACGTTTTTGGAATTAAATCATTAGTCTACATGTTGGCAGCATCCTTACTCGGTCTAGGTTTGCACCCAATTTCTGGACATTTTATAGCTGAACATTACATGTTCTTAAAGGGACATGAAACTTACTCATATTATGGGCCTCTGAATTTACTTACCTTCAATGTAGGTTACCATAATGAACACCATGACTTCCCCAACATTCCCGGCAAAAGCCTTCCACTGGTAAGTAAAGGATTTGATACGTGTTCTAACTTCTGATGGTTATCTGATCAAAATTAGTCTTGACTTGCTCATTTAAAAAGGAATCAAGTATATTTTGCCCATCTAGGCCACTCATCAGAGAAAACAAGAGTGTAAGTCCTGAGTCCTCCAGCCTAATTTTACAGAGTTCACTCTCCTGGATCCCTCAGCCTAGGGTTTAGAAGTGTTGGATCTGCAAAATCTGCTAACTTAGAAAGTGATTCAGGGCCAGCCTGGTAGCGTATTGGTTAAGTTCACGTGCTCTGCTTTGGTGGCCCAGGGTTCATGGGTTCAGATCCCAGGCACGGACCTACACTGCTCATCAAGCCATGCTGTGGCAGCATCCCACATACAGAATAAGAGGAGGTTGGCATACATGTTAGCTCAGCAACAATCTTCCTCAATCAAAAAGAGGAAGATTGGCAACGGATGTTAGCTCAGGGCCAATCTTCCTCACCAAAAAAAAATAAATGAAAAAAGTGAAAAAAAATTTTTTTAAAAAGTAATACAAATGAAAAACTGAAATTAAAAAAAAACAAAGTGATTCAGAAAAGGAAAACGAAATCCCTCTGTGAAGTAAGCGGAAGTTCACGTTAACTGTCATCACTGTTAAACTGAATAGGTTGAGCTAAAAGTTATGCATTGGCTTATTGTGAAGAACAGATGTCCTACATAACTGATCTGCAGAATCAATGCACATATCCTGCATAATTGATCTGCAAAAAAAGGCACATCAATTTCCAGTACTATGGACTTGCCGCAGGCAGGGACTGTCAGTGTCCCTTCACGGTAGACTTTTAGTGCATTGTTTGTGGAGTAAATGAAAGAAGACATTTTCACCCTCATCCTTTCATCCTCTCCAGAACAGGACCACCTTCCTAACTTCACTTATCTTTCTGGTGAATTCTCTTATTAGACTTCCCATCTTCAAAATGGGTAGCTTTTACAGTTCTTTTATCAAAAAAATGTTTCCGCCATTCTAAAAACGGTAATAAGTATGAAGTGTAATAATTTTCTTGATTTTTTTAAGCTATGATATAAGGGAACCAGATATTTTATGTATCTCATCCACGCAATCAAGTTTTATAGATTTCCTCTTAAGTTTTTAAATGTTGACCGTTTAAAAACTCACACACGACATGATACTAAATGTAACAGTTGATTTTTTTTTTTAATAATTTTATTTATTTATTTTCCCCCCAAAGCCCCAGTAGATAGTTGTATGTCATAGCTGCACATCCTTCTAGTTGCTGTATGTGGGACACGGCCTCAGCATGGCTGGAGAAGCGGTGCGTCGGTGCGCACCCAGGATCTGAACCTGGGCCGCCAGCAGCGGAGCGTGAGCACTTAACTGCTAAGCCACGGGGCCGGCCCAAACATTTGATTATTGATTGGATTCCCAGTAGAGGAAAGAAAAATCTAGAGAGGACCTTGGGTCAGTGGGGAAATTCTGAGTCTGGACCGTGTAATAGATCATATTGTGTCAGTGTTAAATTTCTTGGGTGTGATAATGGTATTAATGATTTTGAGGAGAATGTCCGTCCCTGTTTTCAGAAGATACATGTTGAATATTTAGGGGTGAATTATTAGGGGTAAGTTGTCACATATTGTCTGCAGCTTACTCTCAAAAGGTTCAGCAAAGAAAGCAAAGTATGTGGCATACGTTATATACAGAGAGAGAAGGTGACTGTGACACAGTGTTAATGGTGGACCTAGGTAAAGGGCATATGGGTATTTGTTATCCTATTCTTTCAATTTTTCTGTAGGTTTTACATTTTTCAAAATAAAATTTTGGGCAAAAACACACCACACCAGTGTCTGCAGACAGCTTTGACATCAGTCTAATATGATGCCAGCACAGCTGTTTTATGTCACCTGTCCATGTGCCGGCCCGAACAGTATGTGGCCTTCCTTTGTCTTTTCTCGAAGCAGGGAAGTGAATTTTTACTTATTTTTCTCAAGAGATTACGGAGAAAGCTGGTTGCCCTTTGAACAAAAGAATTTTTTCCAACATAAACCACATGCTGTTACTTGTAATTTTCTTGGGCAGTCCCCGAACTGAAAACTTAGTTCAGTTCAGACATGACTTAAGGCTGTGGTTCGTCAGTGACTGTTCATTTTCCGCTCCGTTTCACGCTGTCTTGACTCCTTAGCTAAACTAACAGATGTCCTCAGAATCTCTAGTCATCCCTTTCCTGCTTTTTCTGTGGTGTATGTCAAGGAGTATCTTATTCTGTTTGCCTTAATAAATACCTGGTATTTATTGAGTAGTTACATTAAGGAGTCACATTACATATAACTATCACATTGTTAATAGGTATGTAGAACAAGGTTCTTTTGAACAGCTTTATGGAGATATAACTCATAAACAATTCACCCATTTAAAATGTACAATTCAACAGTTTTTAGATTGTTTACAGAGTTGTGCAACCATCACTATAATCAATTTTAGAACATTTTTAGCACAATAACAGGGTTCTGATTTCTTAATTTTTCTTTTTTGGGGGGGGAGGGGAGGAAGATCAGCCCTGAGCTAACATCCGTGCTAATCCTCCTCTTTTTGTTGAGGAAGACCGGCTCTGAGCTAACATCTATTGCCAATCCTCCTCCTTTTTTTTTTTCCCCCCAAAGCCCCAGTAGATAGTTGTATGTCATAGTTGCACATCCTTCTAGTTGCTGTATGTGGGACGCGGCCTCAGCATGGCCGGAGAAGCAGTGCGTCGGTGCGCGCCCGGGATCCGAACCCGGGCCGCCAGTAGCAGAGTGCACGCACTATAACTGCTAAGCCACGGGGCCGGCCCTCTAATCCTAGTATTAAGGAATTTATTGATTTTTGACTTTATATATTTTTTAAAACCTACAAATTATAAACTTTTTCATTTTTATTATGATTTTTAATGTATTTTTAGTGTTAAGGAGTGTCTTGACTCAGAATGCTTATTTGGGATCTAAACTGGCTCTGTCATTTTATTTTTTCAGAAGATAGTGTCTTCTAGCTGTTAAAATAACTTGGTTGCTACTGGCTTTGACATAAGTTCAATGTGGATTAGGATCCAGGTTTATTTGTATGTATGTGGTCTGTAGATCATCCTTATTCATGAGAGAATTTGGGGAAGTTTTGATCAAAAGTATCACATCACGCAGTGTTTCTTCTGACTGTGAACACCCACGTGAAAAGCTCTGTTTGGCATTAATTCTTCCTTGAGAGTTGGATACTAATCTGCTCCACAGCTAGAAAATAGTACATTTCCCAAATTCAAGGACTAATTCAAACTTGAACATTCTTTTCTTTCTTTTTCTTGCTGTCTGTTTTCACCATGTTGGATTCTGCTTTTTTGTTTTCCTTTGGGATTTTTTTGTTTTGTTTTGTTTTAAAGATTTTATTTATTTATTTTTTTCCCCCCAAAACCCCAGTAGATCGTTGTATGTCATAGCTGCACGTCCTTATAGTTGCTGTATGTGGGACGCGGCCTCAGCATGGCCAGAGAAGCGGTGCGTCGGTGCGCACCCGGGATCCGAACCCGGGCCGCCAGCAGCGGAGTGCGTGCACTTAACCTCTAAGCCACTGGGCTGGCCCTCCTTTGGGATTTTTTAGGATAGTTTTTGTACATTTTGATGAAACCACAGAACTTATTACTTAGCACTAACTTGTTTTGCTTGCTAATCACACTCGCAGTAGTCATTTTTTAAAAGACATTTTCAACATGAGATAGCAGAATTGCACACTTGATAAGTGCTTAACTCTATCTAATTGACGTGCCACAATAATTTATTAGTATTTGCAGATGCCTTAATGGCAAGGGTCAGCTGTTATCTTTATATCCTACACTATCCTACAATGCTGGCCGTGCAATACTTGCTTGAAAGGTACCAAGTCAATTGGGTTGTATGTGTCATTAGAATCCAAGTGCCAAGTTCTACAAATACAGCAGATATTTAGTGCCTCAGAGCTTGATAGGAACGAGTCAGTAGTCCTAGAGGATCAAGCATATTTTACTGTTGAAATGCAAACTGCTTTCTCTTTAGAAGTCCCCAAACTGCTGCTTTTATTTATTAGTTTGTTTTTGGAGAGGGAGGAGGAAGGAAGGTCTCCTGGTTTCTCTTCTCCGAGTTGGTGTCAGACCTTCGTCTGTCATCTTTCCCAGGACTCAGTGAATACTCATCATTCATCTTGCTGTGTTTGTTCCCTTCTAGGTGAGGAAAATCGCAGCCGAGTACTATGACAGCCTCCCCCACTACCATTCCTGGGTAAAAGTGCTCTATGACTTTGTGATGGACGACACAATAAGTCCCTATTCGAGAATGAAGAGGCATCAGAAAGGCAAGGTGGAACTGGAGTGAGCGTCGCTATAGCCAGAGGACTTCCTCTCTGCAGCGTCGAAGTAGCCGAGAAGTGGAGTCCCTGCATTATTAAACCAAGACCCGGGAGGTGGAGAAGTACCTCATCCAGTTTCCAAGTCTGATCCCCGTGGTGTCAAGAAGCTAACGTGGCTTTAACAGCTTATCCGCAGTGTTGAGCTTTACTCACAGGAGACGGGTTTGTTGTGTTGTCATTGTGGAGGATGTTTTCGCCCGTGTCTGACTGTTTGTAAGCATATCATAAAAAAGCTTTTAAAAAGCTGTTTCTAGTACGTTATTTTCACTATCAAGTTTTACTTTATTAAAACAGTTAATAAACTGAGCTATTAATCACAACAAGTAGTATTTATCACGTTTGTATTTTACTGACTACGCTGTGTACTGTGGTAACCAGGGTACAGGTTTCCCTGGCTATCTGAAAGTTCATTCTACACCACTTGACTTTTATGAAAGACCTAACGTTAGTACCTGTTTTCGCTAACCCAGAGAAATCCAAAGAGGATTTTTGCATTTATGAAAAAAGGTGAAAATAGCGTTCAGCGTTTGTTTTGCAGCAAGCCGTTGTAGAGGCAGCAGCACCCTGAGCAGCCAGGGTGGCACCGCCAAGCTCCTTTATCAGGAACTACACACAGCATCTCTGCATCCAGCCGCCATAGCTTTGAACTGCATCTCTGAGCATCTGTGCTTTGTCTCGATTTATTTCGGTAGGTTATTTTGGGGGTCTGGAACACTCAGAAATCTTTCCTGTATAGATTAGTGGTAATTGCTTCCTTGCTTTACGCCGTCTTGGCTTACGAAAGGTTTCATAGGGACGCTCTACTTTCAGATAGCGGGGGAAACCTGTACTGGGGTGAGCTGACTTGAAAACTTCACAAAAAAAAAAAAACAAAAGCCTGGAAGTATCTTTTACTGCAAGCTGAATTACTCATGTTTCATTTTTGCTGTTGTACCTGGGACCTAAGTTAGACACTACTGAATCCTACACAGCCTTATTCATGAATAAAGTACTTATTGAATTTAATCGTGTCCAACATTCAGCTTCCTTTTTCAGATGCATTGACTCCCAAATCGGAAGCAGCTCAGCTGATAAAGAGTTTCCCGTCATCTCATGGCAGTGGAAACTGGCTGTGGTCCGACGGTAGAGTTGGTCTCAAGTAGCCAGTATCGTGGGCTGTTAGGCTGGCAGTCCTGGTTACCTGAAATGTGTCACTTCAGTAAATTTAGTGTAACATGGGGAACTGTTTAAAAAATATTATGTGGCGTGAAAAATCAAATAGCCTGTAGTTCATACACAACACCAACCCTCAGGCAGGCATCCCTGATACGAGATGTTATAATAAAATTCCCATTGTTATAGGTACCAGCTACCCTGCAGTTTGACCCTGCTGAGGGCGAAGAGTAGAATCCTCATCCTCAGAAGGACTGGCAACCTGCATTACAGACCTAATTTCATCCCCAAAGCACATTGCTGTCCCTTCCTCATCCTCTTGCCTGGGAAAATTCCTAGTATCTTTGAACTGTTGCTCAAAGAACCATTGCTTTCCAGTTCAGAGTGATGATAGAACCAACTTGACGCTCAAATACACTCGGTCAGCCAGTGAAAGTGTATCTGAAGCATACCGTGGATTTGATGCCAGACGTTCAATCGATTGTGTGCGCTCACCAAGCCCTCCGCTCCCCTTCTCTGTGGAACACGCACGTGCTGAACACTCCGCGTCTGCTGTCAGCGCAGCCCTCTGAATTCCATTACCTGCCGGCTGTGCATTCCTGTCCTTCCCCGTACCTGCTGTTTCCGGTGACATTACCACTTCTTGCCTGGATGGAGGTTCCTGCCTCCTAGCAGGTCTCTGAACCGGTCTGTTCTCTCCGTCACCGGCAGTGACTTTTCCAAAGAAATCTACGACTGAGGGCAGGAGGAAGCCTGAGCCCCAGAGCCTTTCAAGCACAAGGAAATCCTGAGAAATCACTCATGGCTTTGCACAACTTCCTCCTGCCTAGATTACCCTCTCCCCGTTTCTGATCTTGTTAGCTCATCCTTCGAGGCTCACACCAGCCTCTCTGGCACATCCCCACTCCCAGCAGGTCAAGTTCCACTTTTTTGGCCCCCCAGCGGTGATGACCTCATTCCTGGCCTCACAGGCTGTGTTGTAAATAAGCACAGTTTGTTTCCCCCTGAGGCTGTAACTCCGTAAGGACGGGAAGGATCTTTTATTTCTCTGTTCCCCAAACCTAGCGGAGTCAGTGCCTGGCCTGAAATAAGTGCTTAATAAATGGAGAGAAGCCCCAAGAGCCAATCCTTGAATTTGAGAAGCTTGTCATCTAAAACAGAAACAAAGCAAAATATGGAGGGCATCTGGATAACCTTTTTTTTTTCTTTTGGGAGGAAGATTGTCCCTGAGCAACCATCTGTGCCCCTCTTCCTCTAGTTTGTATGTGGGACGCCGCCACAGCATGGCTTGATGAGTGGTGCATAGGTCCGCGCCCAGGAGCCGAACCTGTGAACCCTGGGCTGCCAAAGTGGAGAGTGCGAACTTAACCGCTACGCCACCGGGCCGGACCGTGGACAACCTTTAAGTGTGGTGTACTGAAAACAGTGGGCGTTTATTGAGAATCCTTACTTTTCACTGAGCCCTGTACCAAGGTTTTTACATTGATTATCTTACTTGATTCTCAACACTTCTACGATGGAGATAGTACTAGGAATATCTTCATTTTGTAGATGAGGAGACAGACTGAGAGAGATTGAGTGACTGGCCCAAGGTCACAGTCAGTTACAGAGACAGGATCTGAAATTCAGACTGTGTGACTCCAGAACCAATACTCTTGACCGTGCTCCACGTGGCTTGTTCGAGGAGCCTGGTCCTGGAACAAGAACAGGAAAGAAAAAACACGTCCCTGTGCGTTACAAATATGTGTTCATGGGCCGGCCCTGTGGCTTAGCGGTTAAGTGCGTGCTCTCTGATGCTGGCGGCCCGGGTTCGGATCCCGGGCGTGCACCGACGCACCGCTTCTCCGGCCACGCTGAGGCCGCGTCCCACATACGGCAACTAGAAGGCTGTGCAACTATGACATACAACTATCTACTGGGGCTTTGGGGAGAAAATAAATAAATAAATCTTTAAAAAAAAAAAAAAAACAAATATGTGTTCATTCCACTGCCTTGTCAACCACTTGCTGTGTGCCAGCAGTTCTGGCTAGATCTCAGGGGGTTTTTTTGTTGTTGTTTTTTTAACTTTATTTATTTATTTTTCCCCCCAAAGCCCCAGTAGATAGTTGTATGTCACAGCTGCACATCCTTCTAGTTGCTGTATGTGGGACGCGGCCTCAGCGTGGCCGGAGAAGCGGTGCGTCGGTGCACGCCCGGGATCCAAACCCGGGCCACCAGCGGCGGAGCACGCGCACTTAACCGCTAAGCCACGGGGCCGGCCCCAAGGTTTTTTGATTTAATCTAAAATTCTTCATATATTTTTTAAGCGTTCAGCTTTTTATTGAACGTGTTACAAAAGAGGTTTAGTCAAAAAGACCAAAGCCCATGTCATCATCTGACGACTCAGATTCTCCTTTCCTTGCTTCCACTTTCCTCTCGGCTGGGGCAGCAGTGCTGGAGGGGCAGTACCTCCTTCGGGGGCAGGGCCACCAGCCCGGACGCTACAGAGGAGGCTCCCATGCGGATGTTGGCCTGGGCCTTTGCAAACAAGCCTGGCCAGAAAGGTTCAACACTTCCACCAGCTGCTTCAATGAGGGCATTGCTCTTGTCCTACACGACTGTCGCCTCGTCGTCGTCGTGCAGGATGAGCTCCAAGGAGATGCAGACGAGCTCAGAGATGGAGGCTGTGGAGCCAGCAAGTGCTGGTGGGCGGCTGCTGGGTGCGGTGGGCACCATGTGAAGTGAGGGCCCCACCCCAGTGCGGCCTCAGTTTCCTCGGAAGGACGGAGCACCTTAGCAGAAGCTGAAGAAAGGGCTAATCTAAAATTCTGATGTGAAACATGAATGTTTCAATCCATAACAAACATGCATTCATTCATTCATTCATTCTACAAGTACTTTGCCAGGCACTGGATTAGGCAGTGAGGATACAAAGGCAAAATGTGGTCCCAGATGAAGAAGCTCATGCTCCCGTGCTGGCGTACGTGCGTGGAGTCCGAATTCAGTAACGAAGGACGCAGGAGGGGCACGACGTGGCTGGAACCGGGTGGAAGGAGCACAGCAACTACCGTTGATCGGGTGTCAGCGCTCAGACCGACTGTACGTGCAGATTACGTTTAATCCACATCTGCCTGGTGAGGGAGATAACGTCCCCCACACTTTCACGGGAAGAAACGGAGCTTCAGAGAGGTTAGCCTGCGGGCGCGCACTGTGAGCAGCAGAGCCAGCGCCCGAAGCCGGGTCTGTCCAAGCCTGTGCTCTTTCTGCTATCCCGCTCGCCCGGCTGACTTGGAAGCTCTGTTTGGACGTGGAAATGTGTTGTTTCTTGTTAGGCAAATCTTCCAGGTGCCTTAGTCATTTGGAATGGACAAGGACAGTCTGATGACCTAGGGCTGGGAAAGCCTTGAAGAAACTGTACCCTCAGAAATCCAAGAGCCCTAAACCCCTAAGACCCTCTCGGTATATGGAATTCTGAGATAGCACAAGGATGAGCACGCACAAGGATGAGCACGTGCACTCCTGGTGAGGGAGGTTCAGAGCGGGGTGGGGGTGGGAAGAGAGGTCAGCAGCCATCTGGAGCGGTCACCTGCAGAGCTGATCAAAGCCAGAGATCCGCATGGCTGTGGGCCACATCTGCGTTGGGGCGTTAGCAAGAAGGGGTGTGGTAACAACCCCGGGGGGAGTCCTGCTTGGGAAAGGGAGCAGGATTTGACAACAGAGGGATATGCAGGTCAGATCATGCAGGTATTCAGGGCTGGAAAGTTAATGACATGGTAGAGGACAAAGAACGGGGAGCAGCACGTGGAAAACGACAGCTTTGTGTTTGCCGAGTCTGAGTTGGCAGCTGGCTCATGAAGGTAATAATTGGACCCAGCTGAGGGGAAGCTTTCAGATGCAGGCAAGTAGATGAGTCACCAAGGTTCAGAAGGTAGTTGCTCTCCCAGGCAAGTATGAATTGGCACCCAAGACCAACAGCAAGGGGTCCAGGACCATGTCCTAGGGGGTGCTTGTAACCTGGCTGCATGGGGGAGTATGAACAGACAGTACCCCTCTTGGATCTGGAGCACCTAGAATTTTCTTCTAAAGACAGAACCCAAAGAAACACAAAGTAGCATTTTTATAGGCTCAAGAGTGGATTATGTGTTACCAGGTACACATCACTGTATTCGTAATCCCTGGGAAAGGAAGA